GGGTCTGCAGTGGTCCTCTCTATGATATCATTTCCTTTTTCTTTCTTTCTTTTTTAAGAATGTTTCTCTGTGCTGATTGCATCACATGATTTTCAGTTTTAAAACTTCCTTTTCATTTTTTTAAAAGAAATAATAAAATATGGCAACCACTTCATTCTTTTAATGAGCCTTTTTCTTCAATATGAACAAAAATGTAAAAATCGAAATGAATTTTATCGCTTATCATATCAGATGTGTTTAAAATGATGTCTCATCCTTATGAAGTGCCCTTGAAACAGCAGCAGCGGTGACATCATGAAGGCTAGATTTGGCTCTCTTATCCAGCATGGCTGTCATTTGGGGAAACTTGTTTAGAATGGCAGCACTCTCTCTCTCGCTGTCCCTTTCTCTTTCTCTTTTGGCAGCGTCAGTACATGCTCGCTCCTCTTGACATAACAAGGTCTGGTTCCCAAGCCCCCGCATCAGATGCGGGCAGCAGATAGCCCCAGCGATAAGTGGCTTTTCTCCTCTCTTTTATCTCGCATGGAAGAGCTTTGCCTTGGAGCTTTGCATTCACAACATTGTGGCAGCCCCTTGCTTTTCCATATCATTAAAAGCCCCCAGTGTCTAGCAGGGCTGGCATGATGGCAAAAGGCCTACTAGTGGCAAGAACACAATAAGTGGGACTGGAAAGCCTCCAGAATCACATCGTACCGAGCTGTGGCAATGCCTCACCATAATGTGTAACGCAAGTGTGTGCAATGCCAGATATTCGGATCCACCACCTTTGGATTTATGGCAGTGTGTGTGTGCATGTGCCTCAAGTGATCCTTTGGTACAAAGACTCGGGGAAAAAAGTATGCAAGATTTCCTGTGAGGCTTAAAGAAATGCTCACATGCTGCCGTCTCGACTATTAATAGCAAAATCTGCAAATTTACTGAACTCTGCCACAGGAAAAATGTACTTGCTTTTGTGTGTGTGTGTGTGTGTGTGTGTGTGTGTGTGTGTATATGCAAGTATGAAATGTTTATAGAAATTCGTTCTTTCTGTTTTTTTTGTTTGTTTTGTTTTTTCCAAACAAAGTCATTTTGAATTGTCAAAAGTGGTTTACAAAACTAAACTATATTAGATTAACCCGCTGATGCATGGTGTCTATTTTTTTACCATTGAGGTTCTGAAGTAACATGCAGACCACCATTGATGATGACCTTTAAACCTTACCTATAACTTTATCCCCCGGTTTCACAGACAAGGCTTAAGCCTAGTCCCGGACTAAAATGTAATTCTGAGCTGTTTCAACTGAAAGAAACTTGCACTGACTGATCTTAAAATATATCAGTGCCTTTGTTTTGTCTCAAGATGCACACCAGTAATGTTTTTTCTAAGGCATGTTTATAAAAATTACTTAAATGTCCTAACTGAACTATGGCCTAATCCTGGTTTAGTCTAAGCCCTGTCTGTGAAACCAGGCCTATATGTCTCTTCTTTATTGTCATAGTGTTTTTTATTTTTAACAACAAATTCAACATGATTGTTGAAAGGGGTGAATTACCTCTTTAATATTTTCTGAAATCTTCTACTGCAGTGAACTCTCTCAAAACACATTACTATGATAAAAGTAAGAATAATTATTTTCTTGTTTTGGGGGAAAAAAATAAACATGAAGATGTTTTCTCCTTTGGGATTGAATTATTCATGCATCAGAGGGTTAAAAATGAAAACATTAGACGTTTTTCTACCAGTGCATTTATGTCCTTGCACAAAGCTTTAGTGTGTGAGCAACGTTTCAAATTTTCTCAAATTATGTTTACCAGAATATCACTGTTCATCTCCAGTATTGTTGCATATTTTCTCCAGTTTAGATCTGTCAAGGTCTCTGCCTAAAAGCAGCTTCAGATAGTTGAATGTGAAGATCTTCTGAATATCAAAGTTTTAAGTGACAAAGGGAAGACGACAGCAGGTGAATGAGGAGCGGCGTGCTGTGAGGAACTGAAGTGTGTTTGTTTAGAATTCTCCATGATGCTCCGCCTATTTGGGAAAGCAGGAAGGTGTGTGTGTGTGTGTGTGTGTATGTACATGAGAGAGAGATCTTTTTGATATTTCTCAGCACGAGCGTCAGTCTGTTTATGATTCAGCTGTCTCCTCATCATGTCTGTTAACACTCGCACCGCCACCCGCCCGAACCAGCGGCGCAAAAAATCAATTTATTGTGCAATCGTGTGTTTGGCGATGGAACCAATCAGTGGTTATTTTTAATGAGGTTATGGAAGCCACTGTAAATTCACAGCTCGATATTTCACCATGAACCATAAACAAGTTCCTGATGTGCTTCGGGAGAGTTTGAGAAGGTCAGAAGCAACAGGAGAAATGTGTTCCTGGAAAGACAGTGAAGGATGGGTTTCACGCACGCACACACACAGTTGTGATCCCTCAACATATGCTGGGATGTTCTGCTCAAACTGATATATGTCCCCTCTGTAATCTGTTCATGCTTGATTAGAAAGAAATATCTCCGCAGAGTTTACGTTGAAGGTCAGGAGCTCCAAACTTTCAGGAGATTTATTCCTTTTGATAGTATAAACAAGTGATTAGACAAACAAGTCTCTTGGACTTGTTTGAAAGGACCTAAAATACATTTGTCCGCTTAATGTAAACGTGGCTGTGGAGAGATGGAATTGAGGTAACAGTTTGGGAGTGTGGCTAATCTATAACAGGTGGACCTGATTTAGACTGTGAGAGCTGAACTACAGTAACATATCCAGTAGGGCTGGACAATAATTCAATATCAATATGTATCGCGATATAATTTTTTTCAATAACGGTGATATGATTTTTAAACACATTTCCGATATTTCGATATACATTACCAGTGTTTCCCATACATTGATTTATTTGTGCCGTTTGACTTCGTTGAATAAACATGAGCACTGCACGTTTCAAAATCAAAAAATGTCGCGGGTGTTTTATATAAATGTATCTGTGAAGGGAACCGACTGTCTTCAGAAATCGTGATATCAATTTTGGCCATATCGTCCAGCCCTAATATCCAGAGATGTTCCGCCGCATGGAAGTCATTTACGGCACGTTTTATGGTACGTGAGTGTTTGTGTGTGTGTGAATGAGAGTGCAAACATCTGAAAGAGCCATTAACTGAGGGCAAAACAAGCAGCCTTTAAGAAAGCACTTGATGTGGGTTGCACTGTGAGGAAATCACCGTGCCAATAGTTTGTCTAGTTAAAGGACAGACAGGCAGGTGCTGGAGAGGGCAGCTTGTCTAGATGAGAGGACAGGACCTTATACTGAACAATGAAGGCAAATGTACCAGTGCCTGCAGGTGCTTCCTCGCTTACAGAGGTGTGAGTGCTTTCTCCTGTTTTCACTTAGATACATGTTGCTTTATAAAAAAATATTTTAAAATAATATATTTTAAATATTTTAGAAAATATTGAGCTCTTGGTTAAATATGGGTTATTGGATGGATGGATGCACCTCACAAAAGCATGTTTTCATCATATTTCATCAAAACCTTTAGTGTGTGTGTATGTGTATGTGTATGTATATATATATATATATATATAAAAAGTCTTAGATCTTTGAGTTCAGCTCATGAAAAATGGGGGCAAAAACAAAAGTGTTGCGTTTATAATTTTGTTCAGTGTATATATATATATATAATTTATTCCTTTGATGGCAATCACTTTTGATCAGTTAATGCATATTATTTCTTCCACCCAAAAAAAAAAACATGTCTTACTGACTCAAAATATTTGAGTGGTAATCTAAATATATTGAATAGAGGAAATTAAGTCTTTTTGTGCAATTATGATGGCATTTATTTACTGTAATATGTCTTGATGTTTTACATTTGATTTAGTTTGCAATTTATTTTTGTTCTCTTTAGATTCACATTAATACAGGCATGAAAACTCATAATGACTTTATTTTATGAGTTTTATGAGTATTTTATGAGTATATTTTATTTGTATTCATTAAAAGCGGTACAGAAAATACTAACATGTTTCTTTCATTTTTGTCGATGAAAGATGTCCTTGACATATCATTGACAGGCTTTCTGAGATTCACCCATAAATTGCTGTAAGGCAGTAAAACTTGTTTTCAGAAAATATATCTTTAAAAGTGTCATCTTATTTCATTGGCATATTTATTACTTGTTATAAGCGTAAAAACCTTGATGCATGTTTTTTTTTTTTTTTTCAACCACCATTTATTTTGCAGTCAAAGGCATATACTCACAGGACTCACACATTCACGCATTCGCAGCCTCTGTAGGTCACACTGACTTTCAAACTGATTCGCTCATGCTATCTTTTGCCTCTCCTCCCGTTCTCTCTCTCTTTCTCTCTCCCTTTCTTTTTCTTATGCTCTGAAAGCTGCATTCTCATGAAACGCATACTATGTAGAGAGAAAATCTAATGTGAAGCTTGAAAAATTCTTTTATGGTGCCACTGTGTTCAAAGCTTGGATTAAGGGTGCAATTTTATATGAAGTTTATGATTTATATGGAATCAACTCACTGACTAGATTTGCGGTTTTTGTGAGCATGATCAACTTTTTCATTGATAACTGTTGCTACTGTACTAACCCAGAGAAATGAACAAATGCAAACTAAGTTGTTTTCGAAGAGGTCTATTTTAAGTCCTAGTCAAAGATATTTTTCAATCATTCCCCTTCTCATTACAGTATTACAGTGAGAGTTTGGTTTTCCGTGTGTTCTGGTTTGCCATTCTCTCTCTGCATAATGGTGACCTAGATAAGAAAATATGCATTGAGGTTATTCATTCCAGCTTATGCTGTTGTGTTCCCTGTGATTTTCTGCCCAACAGATTTAGCCTTTGTGTGTTAAACATTGCTCCTTTGCTGCTGTTCGGTTTGAATGGAGGCCAAATAAAAAGTTGAACTACAGAATATTTCAATTATAATTGCCAGTGTACAGGAGTTGTTATGTCAGTCATCCTAATGTTTGGCTTCAGCAGTCTAATGCTCTGAATCTCTGTTGCAGGTTCTGGCAGGGCGAGTATACGGTGGCCGTGAGCATCAACGACTATCTGGACGTGTACTGTCCGTACTACGAGAGCCCCCAGCCTCACAGTCGCATGGAGCGCTACATCCTTTTCATGGTGAACCATGATGGTTACCTCTCCTGTGAGCACCGCATGAGAGGCTTCAAGCGGTGGGAGTGTAACCGGCCCCAAAGTCCTGACGGACCCCTGCGCTTCTCTGAGAAGTTTCAGCTCTTCACCCCCTTCTCACTTGGTTTTGAGTTCCGACCTGGACACGAGTACTATTATATATGTAAGTGTGTATTTTCAGTGCTGTTTCAACAGTGACATGAGGTGGATTTCTGAAATGAGAAGTCAAAGTCTATTGTCGCAGTCGTTCCCAACTTTTTTGAGTCCCCGTGGTCCACAACTGTGTACAATCCGACATTTCTCATTTCTGTAAATTTAATTTTAGTATTGTAGAATTTTTAAGAACTGAATGTTCTTCAGGGACTCCACTCTTTTAAACCAATGAATTTACATGACTTTTTCAGTCATTCATGATTTATTAGACAAGGACTAAACATAAGGAATTGTAATAATTTTTTTGCACAATTTCTACCCGTTAACATATTTTAGAGCTTGGCATAAATATAATAATGTATATTCATTAAGAAAATGCCAATGGAGTTTCAAGATTTTATTTTAATTTACTTTCCAGGATTTTCTAGAAATCATACTTTTAAAATAAGGCTACCTCAAATCAGTGTTATTTTAGTATTATTTATATTATTTATAGTATTATATGCTGTCATAGTTTTCATTATTATTTCAGTTTTTTCCAATGTTTTTTCATTTTTATTTTTAACATATTTTCAGTTTTCACTTTCAATTAACTTAATAATTACATTTGTCATTTCTATTATTTTTATTTCATTTTTAAAAATAGTTTTTATTTTATTTCAGCTTTAGTTTTATTTCCGTTAGTAATTTTAGTACTTAGACGTATTTCAGTTAGTTGATGCAATTTCTAGTTTTGTTTTTTGAAACAATGAGGTTTTCCATTCATAATTAAATATTTCCATTAATAAAACTGTTTTTAATCATCTTTGTTTTAGATAATAACACTGCCACATATTTCCAGGTTGAACATAAGAATGAATGAAAATAAGCATGAATGAAAATAAGAAATATCTTCAGTTGTCTTAGCTTATTTTAGTGCTTGTTCTTTCTTTTTGTAAATAATTTAGTCATCTTTTGGCCCCCTTGGAGGTTTGCTGGGGCCCCTTAATGTCCCCCGGACCCCTGATTGAGAACTCTGTGGGTTGTTGTTTTTTTAAGTCCAAAATAAATTCAAGCTCCATTTCCATTTGATGTTTGCACAATTTTGAGGTTAAAGGCATATGGAACATCATTTTACATTTAATGTAATGCTAATATAATTTTTAATTGATATTGATTGAAGTTTATGAATAAAAAATAATTACTGCAATAAAACATAAGCACATTTTGTGTAGTATAGTCACCTGTTTTGGAATTGGTCAACAAATGCTTGGTAAACAAGATTAATGACAGTCAAAGACAAAAAGGTACATCTTTAATTAAATCAATCTGAGTGATTACTTTACATAATTCCAAATTTATTTTGATTAGCATATGAGTTGTTTAGTTTGTAATTCATGTTCCTATTCATGTGGATTTGTGGACCGGCTGTGAACATGACAGGCAGGCATTATCACATTGACAGGGTCAATCAGCCAATCACAGAGACGTTCTGTGACTTTTCAGACTCCTTTCACGTTCATGATCTCTGAGAACACAGTGAGCTCCAGGGAAGCAAAAGAGACGCTGCCTCACTCTGAAACTTCATGCGCTGGTGAACTTTAGAAAAATGAGTGCTTTACGAGTGCTTTGAGCTCCTATTTCATACTATTTGTTTTGTTATTTCTGTTCTGTCATTTGAATTTTTTTCTTGCGTCCTCAGAAAAAACGCCTCAGAATTACAGGACATTTAGAAAGATAAGTTAATAGTTTATGCGAAGCAATAGAAATGAAGAAATAAAGATCCTTTAATCTGAAAAGCTCTAGCATTTCCTAAATGAGAAACATCCAACAGCTCTTTCCCATTAACCTCACAAAGCTTTAAACTGGTGGGTTCAAATGGGAAACTTGTCCTTCACGCGTTTTTTACTGTCCTCCAGTGAAGACAATTTGGTGTGGCTAAACCAAATTAAAAGTAGACATTAAACAAAAAACATCTTTGTTTCATGTCAACCGCCTAGCTGTTTTAATAAGATAACATGAAAGACTTGTATCAGGAAGATGCCGGGAGAAAACAGGGAGAGGCAAGCAAATCAATCATTTATATGGTAATTACAATTCCTGACATGGGAGGCTGTGGCGTGGGCAGATGTGGCTGGGCCGGGAGCCACCTGTGTACAGTACAGAGAGCCTGGTGACTTTGAGCTCTCGCCGGCTTTGTGTCGCAGAGCCGCACTGTCCATCAGCAGCCATCCTCTTCCTCTATCCCATGGAGATTGCCACAGATCCTACATGCTTTTCATTTGACTGCTGATTATTCCCTGATTGACAGCTCAGACTGAAAGGGAGTGAAGCAGGCGCGAAGGGGGCGTCGTTCTGAGTCAACATCCCCTCCACCCAAACCCCCCTAAATCAGCATGGCATAGCTCTGCTTATCATACATGCTGCAGTGTTGTCTCCGCACATGAGAGAGAGAGAGAGAGAGGGGAAGAGATGCCACAAAAAGCAGGCAAAAAAGTTCAAAGGTACCCTTCAACTCTGTGTTTCTGCCCCTGTCCCCCCAAACTGATTTTTAATGCGTCTGCTTCGCAGCTTCCAGCCTGGCCTTGCATTGTGAAGGCTTTTGTTTCAGGGCTGGAAAAGGCCTTCGGAAACCCCCGCTCCCCCACCAAGGCAACTCCATTCAGCACCCGAGCCACTCCCTGAGAGGATTGTTTGGATACCGGCAGCTCTATGGGCGTCATTTTCCTTAAGGGGATTGATGCTTTGCGGCGGGGTTGTGGGGTCAGCGATGAGAGATGGATCTGAGAGGTTATCACTGGGAAATGGGGGCTGATCTCGATTGTCTGCCGGTAAAAGAACACGTCCATCAGACCTGGTCAGACTTAACCCCCGGACTTCCATCTCTCCACCCGTATTGATCGGCCGTGATGACATTTTGACAGGCATCTTCTACACAGCTGCCGGCGGTTGAGGTTGGGTGCTCTCCAATGAACCTAGGATCCGGTGTGGTGAACATGCCACAAGAATACACAATGACCTGGGATGGGTGAGGGGGCACTGGGGGAGGGAAGATGACAAACTCTAGACAAGAGTTGGATGTTTTTATGTTTTTTTCCCAGGGATCTATGTAAAATTTGAGTATAGATTCTAAAATCATCTAACATTACACAAATAGTGGTTAAAAAAACAGATGCATTGTCTACTTAATATGTAAAAAGTATGTAAACAATAATTTCAATTTAAAAGAATAATTTGATAACCTTTAGTTAAGTTTTGGATTTAAAATAGTGATAAAACTATATATATAAATATAAATAAAAGCCAGTAATTTATTTTTGGAAACACCATGTAATCTCTTTATCACACTTAATTATTTTATATACATAAACAACAACAAAAAAAGGGTAAATATACAAACATAAACAAAAGTTTGGGGTCAGTAAGATTTTTTAATGTTTAATAAATATGTTTTAATAAAGTTTATCTCCAAGGGTGAATTTTTTGATCAAAATATAGAAAAAAAGTCTTCATAATCCTTCATTCTAATATGCTGATTTGGTGCTCAAGAAATGTTTCTTATTATTATCAATGTTGAAAACAGTTGTGCTGCTTAATATTTTTGTTGAAACTGATACATTTTTGTCAGGATTATTTGATGAATATAAAGTTATTATAAGTGTCTTTACTGTCACTTTTATTAATTTAATGCATCCTAGCTGAATAGAATTATTAAATAAAAAAGTCTTACTGACTCCAAAAGTATTTTATAATATTTCACTTTACATAATGCTTAGATAAGTATTATATATAAAACTTTTGGCCATTTTTTAGCCTTTATTCAGACAAGATAATATGGAGATGGTGAAGGAAGCGAAGTGGGAGACAGAAGGGATGGGAGTGAAAAAGGTTGATTATTTAATTTGTTGGTCCTTGCCATCAAAAAATGAAACCCTTTGCTCTTGATCAATCCCACTGTGACTCGTGCTACAAAAGCTTGAGAAGGACATTAAAATAGGCTGCTGGGTTTTCTTGGTGGACATTTGACTGCGGCCAAGTTCAAATAAATGATTTCACTCACCCCCTCTTTCTTTCCAGACCCTTATAAGGAAATAAGCAGTAGATTTGTTGTGTCTGTAGAACACAGATGAATGAAGTAATCTATCGAGCAGAGATGAACAGTGTTGCTGATGTTCCGGTGGAGCCGATCAGTCGGTTGACTGCTGGCTGGCTCAATAGTGACTCTTTGCTCTCAGGTCACTGAGTGCTATGTGGGGTAATTTGCTATGGGAACATTGTGTGTCGCAGACCATTGTAACGACACCAAGCCGGTGAAGGTCACAGCAATTTCGTCTGAATGAAGAAAATCTCAGACTTTGTTCTTGATTTGGTTGTCAAGGGGTCAAACTCGCTCAGAGGCTCGAGAGACGTTCACAAGTGTCACCAAGAGGATCTTAATCAGATTCATTGGCTTGTTGAATGATTCTGTTTGTCACAAGCACATTTAGCTCATTATTTCTCTTCAACTTCCTTTTCAACAGCCTCTCCTCATCCTAACCACGCTGGCAAGCCGTGTTTACAGTTGAAGGTGTACGTGAAGCCTACAAGTAAGTCGTGCTCTAACTGTTTCACCCTGCCAGCGTAGAAAATAATATCCCCTCATGTCTACATGCCAACCTTCTGTTAGACATAACAGGAATGCAAATAAGCAGTGTTTGACACATTTTCCAGGAACATTTTGTTAATGAGATGTCATATTTATTTCCAAGCTGTGAGAATGTGTTCAAATGCAGTCTACAGCCATCAAAACTAATGGGAACTATTTAAATTGACCTTCATCACTCACCATTGGAAACCTAATATTAAAGGGATAGTTCACCCAAAAATGAAATTTTATGTCCATATGATGGAAGTGAGTGGTCACCAAAACAGACAAAATATCTTCTTTTGTGTTCCACAAAGTCATACAGGGTTGGAACAACAAAAGGCTGAGAAAATGATGACGCCATTTTTATTTTTGGGTGAACTATCCCTTTAATTGTTGGTAAATGCAAGTCAAATTTGAAAAAAGTGTCAGATAATGCCATCAGATAATGTTACATTCATAGTTACAACTGTTCTTGTTTTCCGCATTTTAAAAATAACAGCTCAGACAACATTTTTACTTGTCACAGGGTTATTCATTCTGCCAGTGATGTAATCGCTGGTGCTCAGTTGCAGTATTGTTGGATGCTATTAGGGATTTCTACCCAACTACAGTATACAGTACAGTTGTATTGTGGATAAATATTTTATCTTGTAAGAAAACAAGTGAATAAAGTACCATTTTACTTAAATTCGTATAATGAAAAAGATGGGTTCCATTAAAGTTCCATTAGTTAATGTTAGTTAATGTATTAATTAACATGAACAAACAATGAACAATAGATTTATTACAGTATTTATTAATATTTGTTAATGTTAGTTAATGAAAATACAGTCGTTTATTGTTTGTTCATGTTACTTCACAGTGCATTAACTATTGTTAACAAGCACAACTTTTGATTTTAATAATGCATTAGTAAATGTTGAAATTAACATTAGCTAAGATTAATAAATACTGTAGAAGTGTTGTTCATGTTAACTAAAGTAGTTAACTAATGAACCTTATTGTAAAGTGTTACCAAAAAGACTGAATAATTGGCTGAATAACTCACTCAGAGAAGAAAATGATGCCAATTTCTCCACATATATATCTCCATATATCTCTTTTGAAGACAATATGAAAATGCTACTTTATTCACATACCTTCACAAATCATACACTACTGTTCAAAAGTTTAGGGTCAGTAGGTTTTTTAAATAAAAAAAAAAAACATCTATTTGGCAAGGACACATTATATTGATCAAAAATGACAGTAAAGACTTTTATATTGTTTTAAAAAATCAGTTGAATTGAATGATTTCTGAAGGATCATGTGACACTGAAGACTCGAGTACTGACTGCTGAAAATGCAACTTTGCATCACAGGAATAAATTACATTCTAAAATAAACCGTTATTTTAATTTGTAGTAATATTTCACAATATTACTGTTTTCACTATATGTTTGATCAAATAAATGCATTCTTGGTAAGCATGAGAGACTTCTTTCAAAAAAAAAAAAAAGGAAAAATCTTAACAACCCCAAGCTTTTGAATAGTATTCTTGTCACGTTGTCATTTCAAATTGTTTAGTACAACAGCGCTCACCCTCCAAGTGGAAATCTAGTGTTTATTTGAAATTCATTGGCACAGATACGTCAGGTCCGTGTAATCTATGAAAACGGTGTGTGAAATGTGAACCAGATCCTCCGCCTCAGTAATTAAACTCTAATTAGGTCAGTGCTGTGGGCCTCTGCTGCTTTGAGTAAAGGTATGCATTTCCTAGCGCTTCCTCTCCGTGTGCTGTCTCTCTGTGTTTGTGTGTTTCAGATGGTTCGGGCTATGAGTCTCCAGAGCCATTCCTGACTGATCAGAGCCAGCGCTGCAGGGCAGATGGCCCATGCCTAGCTGTGCTGCTGTTGCTACTGGCCTTTCTGCTGGCCTGCATTTAAGAAGCTCCGCCACTGCCTACCGTTCTCCCTCCATCCATACTCCCTCAGGGAAGCCCTCTCATCCAGACCCCCGGCTCACAGGCTAACACGCAGTCGGATTCACGCATCTTCTTTTTTACTGAACGAGATCCTCGCCACTGATGCGAGGACAGAGACGTTCGCCCTGCTTAGCGGCTGTTGTAAAGCTGAACACCTGGAGTCTGTCGTGGAATGTGACCTTTTATATATGCTGTCATGTAATCGAGGCTTGTATTCATGTGCCATTTAGTCACGTTTCTTTTGCAGTTTACAAAAGATTTCTGACACTCATTTGGATAGCTATAATGCCCCCCCCACACCGTCTTCACACCATACTCAGCCCAGAAATAAAGGGGACGTTATCCTCTTAAGGGACTAGCCACTTTTAATTCACCGACGCACGCACTGCGGTCATGGACGAAAAGGAAATGGATTTTTTGTATTCTATTTCATGTTATTTTTGTAGCATTTAAAAGCAACATTAATTATTCATGTGATATGAGGAACGGTTTTAGCGTCTTGAGTGGCAATACAGTGTGTGAGTCAGCATTCGGACATATTCAGAAGGGCCCACTCTCTCACTCTTTACTGTTGTTATTGTGATCTTGTCAAACTGTATTCAGTATTTAAAGAGACAGAAAGCATTTCTTTCCATCTGATTCAATTGTGTGCTCTTTTTCATGTGACGTTTTGTACAGCCAACATGTTCTGTCAAACTGAAGAAACATGCTGAAATGAGAAATAAAAAATAAAGCGGTTTTTGTCTACAAGATGCACAGATAGGTGCATTGTCTGAAGCTGACAAGTGACATTTTAGCTCAGCTTTGTATAGCATAGATGTAAGCCCTATTAAATATTTAGAATGGGATGCAGACATCAGTGCTAAAGAGCTCTTTCGATTTTTTCCCCCTTCCAAAATCACTTTGCTAAACACTTCTTTGTTTCACTGTGCACTGTGTAAAGTTCATTGTGTGCAATGTCTAAACATTGATTTTTAGGTATTTTTCTCTCATTTAGTTCTGCAACATTTTAGAAAAATATACACTCATGAGAATACCTGATATTATCGCATATATTGAGACAAAAAAAATTGTTTCACTTTTGTTCAAGGTGATTAAGTTAGCAGTTTTTCAGTAGCACTCTTGTAAGAAATTAATACTTTTATTTAGCAAGGATGCATTAAATTAATCAAAAATGACAGTAAAGACAGTTTATAATGTTACAAAATATTTCTCTTTCAAATAAATGCTGTTCTTTTGAACAGTTCATTGTGTGCAATGTCTAAACATTGATTTTTAGGTATTTTTCTCTCATTTAGTTCTGCAACATTTTAGAAAAATATACACTCATGAGAATACCTGATATTATCGCATATATTGAGACAAAAAAAAAATTTCACTTTTGTTCAAGGTGATTAAGTTAACAGTTTTTCAGTAGCACTCTTGTAAGAAATTAATACTTTTATTTAGCAAGGATGCATTAAATTAATCAAAAATGACAGTAAAGACAGTTTATAATGTTACAAAATATTTCTCTTTCAAATAAATGCTGTTCTTTCGAACTTTCAAATTCACCAAAGAATCTTGAAAATGTGTCATGGTTCCCACAAAAAATATTAAGCAGCACAACTATTTTCAACATTGATAACAATCAGAAATGTTTTTTTTAGCATCAAATCAGCATATTAGAATGATTTCTGAAGGATCATGTGACACTGAAGACTGGAGTAATGATGCTGAAAATTTAGCTTTGCCATCACAGGAATAAATTACATTTTAAAATATTTTTAAATAGAAAACGGTTATTTTAAATTGAAGTTTCATTTTTTCCACATTTATTTCTGTGACGACTTTGGTATGTTTTAGCCATTTATTTATACAAGTATACGCTAAAACAATATAGAATTTGTACCATTATAACTAACAAACTAACAAAAATAATAATGCTAATAACATATATTTTGTCATAATTGTTTTGTGATTGTCATACTCTTTGAAATAAGAAAAACTTTTCCTTAGCCCTGTTATGCTCAACTATCATATATTTTTTTCATCCAATGTCCTGAAATAAGACCAGCTTCCACCTAAACAATCTCCTACCTAAACCACGTAAAATGTGATTAAACCTAACGTATTTGATACTTTAGCAGCAGTTATATAGATTATTTTTACACAGACTTGTAATATGATTGTCGTTTGATGTTGTGTGTTCGGATGCGAGACGGCTGGAATGAGTCACGGTCATACATGACTTGACATTTAGGCGGGAGTCTGCTGCTCTGGGCTTTGGCCTGGATGCTCATCCAACTATTAGTTGAGGGATCAGTAGCCTGGCTGGGCTCAGAAAAGTGAATGTCCTATCTGAATATTTTATGCAATGTAGACTATGATAAAAAATACATGCGCTAGAAAAGCATCAGTGCAGGATTTGCAGATGCAAACCAAACAGCCAAACAGCTCCAGGCGGATATTAGTCGCAATCAGAATGATCATTACAGATGATAAAAACGGCTTTATGGTGAGTAAAAGATTTATGCCTTACATATTCAGTCTGTGTCACAGCATGATGCGCCTTATTGTAATTACAATTTTACATAATTTTAATGTAATGGTAGACTCGATATAAGTAACACAGCATGTGTATACGTGCCGATTTCCCAGTGAACAATAGATGTCTGCTGCCCCCTTGTGAATGAGACCTTTTAGCACCCTTGGTCTGGTGAGTGTTTTGTCCATACTTGGTCATTTATGCCACATATAAAGCTAATATCTTATAGATTTATACTTTTGATTCATATTTTGAATATTTAAAGGGATAGTTGGCCCAAAAATGAAACCTCATGTCGTTCCAAACGCATGTATTTTTTTCTTCTGCTGAACACAAAAGATATTTTATAGAATGCTGATAACCAAACAGTTTCAGTCCTCATTGACTTCAGTTGTAGTCATTGGAAGTCATTGGGCCTGAAAACATTTGGTTATGAACTTTCTTCAAAATATCTGAGGAATACGTGTCATCATTTACTCACATAAGGGTGAAAAAAATACAGAATTTTCATTTCGGGGTGGACTGTTTCCCATTTACCAATAACAACTCTTGTCTGTCTTACGCCTGTATCTCTGTGGTACATATGACCTCCCACAGTTCCCTGAGGTACAACACAAACACACACGTCTCAAGGCTCCTGAACAGTCAGCACATGTTGAATCTGTCGGAGACATGAGCTCTTTGAAAGCGAGAAAAACGAACACATCGAGAGCCGACCATCTACAGAGAGCACACTTCAAAAACTATTATGAAATGAAAAGGTTTGTGGATGAGCGGGAAATTCTGTGCAGAGATCACAGGAGATCGATGTTTTTGATCAACAAAGAAATACAAGAGCTTCAAAAGACCTTGATAGACATAAACCTGATAAGCGGATATTGTCACGAAGCCTACGCTGTTCATCTGAGATCAGTGAGTACAGCCTTTTCAACTTGTAAAGAATCCAAGAAAGCAAAGAAATGCAGTAATATTGATTTGAATGTTGAAAGTGGTAACTCAATGAAGTCCAACTGCATGTTTGGCCAGAAGCATGACGGCTTAGGTGATAAAACCTCTGGTGATTGTGAGAGGGATCTGTCAGAACTCAAACAGCACACACTGACTCCAGAAACCTATAAAACATGCAGCACTAATACCTATGTTTCACCACATAAGGATTTAAAAAACAGTAAGGATGATTATTTCAAAGCCTCATTGTCTCATTTTGAGATATCCTCAATTGAATGCAATGAAAAAGATGAGGATAAAAGTGATGGACGTCCTCAGAAGACTTCAACCAAGAGCCCTTCACATATCGCAAAGACAGATCTGAAGAACAGTTCCTCGCCTCCTACACATTTCACCCTTCACAGAAGAGCAAAACAAGCGCATCAAAGGCGACAAAAAGTTGCTCTTCATATGCCTCCTGTACTACTGAGGACATCCTTACGTGAGCAGAATGGTTCTTATGATATGGGTATACAGCAGCAAGACCAAGATGGCAAGACATTGTCAAGATACTTACAAAAGAAAGACGGCATGAACAATGGCAGAAGTCACATATCGAAGGCAGCCATTAAACACAGCCTTGAGTTGTTCATCAAAGAATACAATTGTTCTCAAAATGCTGGAATTTTGAGCAACAAGCAGAGGGATTTGCATGAAAAGGTGTCTAACTTTGTATCAGAGCTTTCAGAGTTCAGATGTGACGTTTGGTTCTTCCGTCCTCAGAACTAGCACATCATAACATGTCAGATAACAATGATAACCATCATCCTAAAGCAGTGTTTCTCAACCCTGGTCCTGAGCGCCCCCCAACACTGCACATTTTGTATGTCTCCCTTTTCTGACACCCATTTCAGGTCCTGGAGTTTCTTTTAATGAGCTAATGAGTTGAATCAGGTGTGTTTGATTAATAGGGAGACACACAAAATGTGCAGTGCTGGGGGGCGCCCAGGACCAGGGTTGAGAAACACTG